CAGGCAGCAAGTGGGCTGTTAAAGGAGCTCTCTGGCACTCAGGCAATGTTTTGTTGCAAACATGTTATGTCCTTGGATCCCTGTTTTTCACCTTATGGCCCCCAGGCGTGACTGGTAAACGTATGAAGTTAGGAACAGAGGTTTACATGTGTTGTCTGTAAAATTATTAGTTAATGCATTGTAGGTCCCACTCTAACCCATGACTGAAAATGCAGATTTCTGACAAGCCATCTCTGCCTCCAGCGTGCCGCAGAGAGAAGGTAAGTTCTGTAGAAGGTGACTTGACAGGTGCAATTTCTTCCGCCACCAAAACTCTCCCTGCCTTGCTTTGTTACAAGTTTACCCTCTTTGGTGCTTGCCTTGCACGCCCAGCGAGCTCAGGTTTTTCTTCTCCCAAAGAGTAAGATCCCACACACAGGGTGGGGAGGCACTCTGGTCACCGGGCAGAGGAGGTGCTACAGGAGCCAGGAAAGTGTGCTGTGAAGTGACCATCCCTCATGTAGCCTGTTTTCTCCTCCCTTGTCCTGTAGGCCGGAGAAATAAAGGATGGCAGCTGAAGCAGCTGGCTGCTTCTGGGAGGTAGGTTTCATCTAGCAAGAAGGAAGACACGGTAAAGTATGGCAAACAAGTGAGATGTGGCCATAGCCAGGGGAAGCGTGATGAGCCAGGCATGTTTGTGTCACTCGCAGTGTGTGAGACTTGACAGGTCTATCATATCAGAAGGACAAGGGTAAGGTTTTGGAGCCTGTCCCTTAGGGCAGCATAAGCAGGATTGAAGACTTGAAATTAAGTCCATTTAGTTTAGATAAATTCAGAAGCTTCTTCCAGCACTTTCTCCTCAGCGTAGGTTGGGTTTTTATGATGTTAGGTATTAGTAAGAGCAGTATCACTTCCAGCATATGGCATAACTGAGATGAGTTAAGAATTCATAAATGCATTTGGAACACACAACTCCATGTTACTGAAAATAAGATCAGTTATGTGATTAAAATGAATGCAATCAAATTTGAAGCTTCAGGCACTGCAGCTAAACAAACTGATATCTCTAATCAGCAAACGATGTTCTTTTAAGGAACATTATAATTTTAAATGGAGAAACTACTTTAAAACTGTCTTCTCTAGTGAACAAATGACTATGCAGCAATATTTACATAGCCGTATATAATGTCTTTTAAGGGGAATTCCTGAAGATTTTCTAATTGAACCTCAACTTGCGCTGAAGAATTTGATACAAGGGAGACATCTGGTGAGACATCCCCGCAATGCCATGCCGCCGCGCTCTCGAGGAGCTGGGCTGAGCTGGCTCTGTACAGAATTGCTCAGCGGCCCTCAAACTTACCTGTACGTGGGACGCATCAAAAATTCTCACGTCCTGGCGAAAACCTGACTTCTCTCTTATGAATTGTCAATTGAAGTATCTAGAACATCAGCCTCATGGATTTACAGAACTGGGGAAGGGAAGGGAGCAGAAGGGAAAAGAAGGGTGAAAGAAGAAAAGAAAGAAAAAGAAAGCAACAAAGGGAGAAAAATAATTTCTCTGTGTTTTATTTTGTACTTCTCCTTGACATCTGCACACATAAGCAATTTCTTAGAATTTTTGCAAGTTCTCTGTTATTGTTTCCTCAGAGGCATTTTAATTAAAATGCCAATAATGTTGTAGGGTAGTGACACTCTCCCAGAATTAAAGATGTATATTGTATTTTGTTTAAAGGCTGACTTCTCAAGTGCTCTCGATTCTTCATACAGACTCCGCTTGTCTTGAAATTTGCTGTGTTTAATGGAGGCAGAAATGAAAATGCATTTCATTTATTCTACATGAATGCTTTTTTTACTCTTGAGTTAATGCTCGTGGAATGAGGTAAAACATCCACAAAACTAGGCCAGGCTAATCCTATGACTGAGAAGAGCCAGGAACATAGACTGCCTCTCAGGCCTGGCCTTCAGTGCACCTTGCTTTTGGAGAGAGTTGTCATGCTGGTGAAATCACTGAATGTGATTCCAAAGAGTCTTGGTCCCGCTCCCAGCTCTTCTTTTCATCTGAAGAATGAACAGAGAGGTGAACTGATTCTCTGCAGGAGAGCGTCTTACCTGTTCAGTAAAGCACAGAGAACTGGTATACACCTGGTTTCAGAGCTGACATCCATGAAGGTGTCCATGAAACCATCAATACGTGAGACTAAAAAAGTGTAAAACTTTACTAAAGATATGAAAAGCTAATAATGCTTGATTACCATGGCAGTTTAGTCCTATAAATATCTATTTGGAAATGACTGTTTTTACTGTTGTAACACTCTGCCTGTTTTAACTCCTATTTTTGAATGCACGTCTTTGGCTGTGTGCCTCTATACAGACACAAAGGTGCAGTGAAAAGATAAAACCAGTCCTAAGTTTACTGTGACATTTGTGTGAGAGACTTAGATAACTGATTTCCCTTTTGTTGCATTTTCTACTTCTGCATTGCTGGAAACATTTTTGGTAACCACACGCAAGACGTACTGCAGGCACTATTTTTTTTTGCACTCACAATTAGAAATTGAGCAACTCAATGGAAATCCATCAGAATGACTTATCCTGTGCTGCATACATATCTGTTGTGAGATCTGATGTCCATATTCTATCATTTATCAGCAGTTCTGGCTAACTGGGGAGGTCCCTGTGGACTGGAGGTTAGCAAATGTGACGTCCATCTACAAGAAGGGCCAGAAGGAGGATCCAGGGAAGTAGAGGCCTGTCAGTCTGACGTTGGTGCTGGTGAAGGCTGTGGAACAGATCGTCTTATCACATGGCATGCACAGGACAACCAGATCACAGAATCACAGAATCACAGAATGGTAGGTGTTGGAAGAGACCTCTGCGGATCATCTGGTCCAAGCCCGCTGCCAAAGCAGGGTCACCTAGAGTAGGCTGCACAGGACCTTGTCCTGGTGGGTCTTGAATATCTCCAGAGAAGGAGAATCCACAGGCTCCCTGGGCAGCCTGTTCTAGTGCTCCATCACCCTCAGAGTGAAGAAGTTCTTCCCCATGTTCAGACGGAACTTCCTCTGCTTCAGTTTGTGCCCGCTGCCCCTTGTCCTGTCTCTGGGCACCACTGAAAAGAGTCTGGCCCCATCCTCCTGACACCCACCCTTGAGATACCTGTAGGCATTTATTAGATCCACTCTCAGCCTTCTCCAGGCTGAACAAGCTCAGCTCCCTCAGCCTCTCCTCGTAGGAGAGATGCTCCAGTCCCCTCATCATCTTCGTAGCCCTCTGCTGGACTCTCTCCAGTAGCTCCTCATCTTTCCTGAACTGGGGAGCCCAGAACAGTACTCCAGATGAGGCCTCACTAGGGCAGAGTAGAGGGGAAGGGGAACCTCCCTCGACCTGCTGGCCACACTCCTCCTAATGCACCCCAGGATGGCATTGGCCTTCTTGGCAGCCAGGGCACACTGCTGGCTCACGGTCAACCTGTCGTCCACCAGCACTCCCAGGACTTTCCAGCCTGTCCAGGTCACGCTGAATGGCAGCACGGCCTTCTGGTGTATCCACCACTCCTCCCAGTTTTGTGTCATCTGCAAACTTGCTGCGGGTACACTCTAACTCTTCATCCAGGTGTCCTGATCCAATATCGGGCGGGTTTTGATGTGATCCCAGGGGACGAGATTGAGACACAAACGAGGTCAGATGCTGTCAACCCTGCAAGCTTTATTCCAACAAACCATAAACTGAAGGGGGGACAAGGAGATAACAGAGCGAGGACAGAAGGAGGAAGCGAGAGAGAGAGAGAGAAGGAAACCCTCCCGATATTGGATCAGTATTGGGAAAAGAAAAGATGGAGTCAGATAACCTGTATCAGCGAGGAACGGGGAGGGGGTGTGGGGAACTACCAGCTGCCGCCACAAGCCCGGTGAGGTCCAGTAGATGGAGTCCTTCTCCTTCTATGTGGAGATGCCATGCGGGCGAGTCCCAGCAAGCACACAGGAGGGAGGAAAAGCCGCTTCCGAGAAACGCGTGCGATGCCTTTTCTGTCGGTCTCCGCTCATGCAAGGTGAGCCTGTGTGTAGGTGCAGGCCGCCATCTCCCCAGGCAGCCCGCCGTCTCCCCAGGCAGGCCTCCCCCACCTCTGCTGCCCGCAGCTCAGCCTGGCAGCCTCTCCAGAGGGTGGACATCCACGTCAGGAAGCGGGGGCCGTGGCAAAACGGCGATGTCAAGACAAGTCCGACTTCGCAACGGTTTGCTGCACCACCCCGTGTCTCGACATTGCAGTTTTGCAGAATCGGAGGAGGGAGAAAAAGGAGAGGGAGCGAGAGAGAGAGAGAGGGAGAGAAAGGTAATGAGGAAAACAAGAGTGATAGCGGAGTAGGAGAAGGGACGGAAATTGGGGACAGAGATGGGGGGAGAGTATGGGGGAAGAGAGCGAGAGGAGGTACCGCAGGAAAACATTCAATTACAAACAAATCTAAACATTATCCAATATGAGATGTCATTTCTGAGAACCTTTCTGAACATATTAGCGTTTAACTTTACAGAATTAATCTAATGAGTCAGGTAAGTGAACAAAGTCACCTGTTGCAACGAACACAGAACGACTGGCAAGTGACGACATGGGTACGTGTATGTGTGCAGTTTGTTCTTGAATGATCTCGGGAGTACAATGAGGTCTAAACAATAGGAACTGTGGTTGGTTTAAGTTGTCAAACAATGCAAATTCGTTTTGTGCCATCAGGCGAGGTAATGGGTACAAATTGCATGTTAGATACCACATGTCAAATTAATGGAATAAAGCAAGGGATTATACATGGTAAGAACATTAAGGCAGTGACCGTGCATAACGCATAAAATAACAATTTTTTCACCCAAGGAGCCCCCGGTAACCAGGACCACAGGTCCTCACTTCAACCATTCCAGGTTTGGACGGGAACATGAGCGATTCTTCTAATGTCTTTGGTCGGTTGGAGGACGACTTCACCTATATTGTTGATCTCCAAGCAGCAGTTTGAGATGTTTAGTTTCCTGCATACCCCCTCCTCCTTGGCTAGCACATAATCTAGGACCATATGATGTTGAAGGATTGCTATGCACATCTGTTGTGCTTGCTGAGTCAAGAGGTCTATGGCCTGGCCAGTCTTGTTAGTAATGGTTTCTAGAGCTGCCTGCGACCGGATTATTTGATTTAATTCGTAGATTGGCTCTCTTGCCCCTGCAGTTGGTTCCTTAGGATTCCAACTGACAGGCCCGTAATGTTGAACTATACGTTCAGGAGGCCACTCTTTGTCCCTCCATTTTTGTGTCCCGCCCAAATTAATTTCAACAGATCGCATCTTACGGACAATCCCTCTGTCCCCGAAGTCATCGTATACTCTTATCCCCAAATGAGGCCCACCCATCTCTGGAAGAAGAAAGAATAAGGGTCGCATAATTCTGATGCAACAAACTCCCGACCATTCCGCTGGTAAATGCTTATAGGCTGTATGCCTGCAGATCCAATAATGACTCCTCTTTGCTTCGGTGCCATAAGCAAATGGACCCACTGCTCCCTTTGGAAATTGGAAAGAAGTTGTATCGCTATTGCTGAAGGGACTGAAGAACTCAGCTGGACTGTTATTAATTTGGCCAGTACAATACCAGGCACCAAATTGCTTTTCCATTCACAAATCTGTTTATAGGGGTAATAATTGGATTGTTGGAGAGAAAATGTTTCATTTTCACGCGACCAATATCCTTTAAACCCCCGGTTGTGCCTGGTTCTATCAAGCCACATCCATATATGGACATCTTTATCTTTGTTAACTAATTTGTGGGTGCGCATCCACCGGCACTTACTTTCCCCTGCCTTGACCCCTCCCCTCGGGGTGCGATTTAGGCAATATTGCCCATCAGAGGCGAATTGCATCGGCCACGTCCCACCATCATTCCAAGTGTTTTTTGCGGCTTCACTACAATTACTCATGATTTGGGCCGGGGTAAGGGGCGTGGATGTCTGTGGCCAACTTGATAACCCCAGAGGTCCCTCGCAAACCCAGCAAAGACTTAAGTTGAAAGCTTGGCTTACGGCTTTAGCTAGCAACACAAGTTTGTTGTCTTGAAAGGGGTTGTGGGTATCAGGGGAAGGTGAGGAGACCAGTCATTCTTCGCTCTCATGGGTGAATCTCCAAGTTAAGGCAATTAAAACTAACAAACATGCACATTCTGGTAAATTACAGCCGATGCCTACCTATCTTCTTCCTGAAAAACAAGGACAGAAAAACAAACTCGCTTGCTGAGTCCGAAAGAAGGGATAATCCATTTTGTACGCATTTTATAAACTTTTCCGTGGGTATCCTTTGCCTTCCAAGTGTGTTTCTTTATTGGGGTGTCCAGAACCAGTGGGAGTTGCTCCCACAGTGGAGAGTTCGACTAGGGCAGGCTGCCCGGGGAGATAGAGAGGGTCATCAGGGTGGCCAGGGTCAGGCGAAGTAGGCATGATCATTGGAGGTTGGGGAAAGAATGCTGTGATTTTGGGGCACCCATTTGCTCCCCAGCAGCTGTTAACACTAGTTACCGCATCCTCCACCCACTCGGCCCATCCAGGTTTGTGTGGTTTCAGGAAATGTTTGAGCAGCCCATTCGTTCTTTCCACAATCCCATTTGCCTGTGGGTGATATGGAGTGTGGAATACCCATAAAATTCCCTCCTGGGTTGCCCATTCCTGAACTACTTTTGCTGTAAAGTGCAACCCATTATCGGAGTGAATTGATTGTGGTTTGGGGAAAGTCCCGAACCACTCTTTCAGGGCCTTCACGTGTTCTCCCCAGTCGCCTTGGCACACGCTTTAGCTTGTGCGTGTCCTGACACTATCTCGACACCCCCAAATATGTAACACTCCCCCTCCGATTTTCGAAATGGGCCAATGTAGTCCACTTACCAGGCTTCCCATAAACCTTTTCCCTCTCTCAAGTGCAGAGGGACATTCTCTAAAGGGTGTCTATCTAGATGGACCCCACACTGTTCGCAGGAGGATATGCGTGTTTTACACCCCTCTCTGGTTACTGGCCACCCCCGTGCCTGTGCCTCCCGAAACAAATCATTAATCCCTGAAGGCTTCCACTTTACATGCAACCACTCTAATAAATGCACCCAGTTTTCCCTTATTTGAGTAGTTTGTAGAGAAGCTAGTCGGGCCAGCTCATCGTCTTCAGTGTTCCATCGGCATGCTGGTGTATCACTCTGTTGATGTGAGGTGACCCATGCTATTGCAAATTCTCCCCTCCTAGCAATCGTAAGGATATCTTGCCATTTTTCTTTCTGCCACACCAGTATTCTGTTAACTTCCCATCCATTCTGTTCCCAGAATGGTAGCCACTCTGTGCACCCTTTGAATACCACGTAGGAGTCTGTGTAAATGTATACGAGGGTGGTGGCTTGGATCTTGTGCTGGAAGACACTCCATACTGTGATTAGTTGGCCTACTTGTGCACCACCCTCCACTTCAGTAATGATCTGTTCTTTAGTCTCTACCTGGAGTGCCGCAGCTTGATAATTCCAAACCTTTGCTTCCTGCTTCGATGTTGCATTTGTAAACCAAGCGTTGTGTATTTGTTCGGAGAAAGGGGGGCTACCTGTATCACTGGACACACCCGGGGAGCCTCCTTGTCTAGGTTCACTTCATCCTGTATATTTAACATCTTGCTGGCCCCTTCGGACACAGAAGAAATTTCACAGTAATGTTCTATTTGTGTGTACCACTTCTGCACAGAAGCCCATTGGGCCACCCCGTCAGGGGGCGGAGTTCCCGCTAAGACTGCTTTAATTACCTTAAAGGGGCCCCAAAGTACTATGGGTTGTTGTCTGATGGTCCGCTCAGCTTCCCTTAGGGCTAGGCTAACCACAAACAACCCCTTTTCCCATGTTGTGTACCTTTTTTCCGCATCCTTAAAACTACGTGAGTAAAACACGATGGGCTAGGTAGACCCTTCTGGGCCCTTTTGCCATAAATGGATTGCGAGCCCGGTCCGAGCGAATCCCCACTTGATTTGGACCGGGTCTGTTGAATGGATGGGTCCCAGAGCTTGATGAGTGTTTGCCTCAAATACTAACAGTTGTAATGCTGGTCATCAGGTCATTGATGAATAAGTTGAACTAGACTATGCCGAGTACTGACCCCTGGGGAGCCACCACTAGCTACAGGTCGTCAACTAGACTCAGCCCCGCTGATGCCACCCCTCGGATTCCTGCCATTCAGCCAGTTCTCAATCCACCTCACTGTCCACTAATCTAGCCCACCAGTCAGCGTGGGTTTACGAAAGGCATGGCCTGTTTGACTGACCTGATCTCCTCCTATGACAGGGTGACCTGCTTAGTGGATGAGGGAGAGGCTGTGGATGTCATCAACCTGGACTTTAGTAAAGACTTTGACACCTTTTCCCACAGCATCCTCCTGGAGAAACTGGATGCTCATGGCTTGGACAGATGTACTCTTTGCTGGGTAAAAAAAATGGCTGAATGGCCAGGCCCAAAGAATTGTGGTGAATGGGGTTACATCCAGCTGGCAGCAAGTCATGAGTGGTGTTCCCCAGGGCTCAGTTTTGGGGCCAGTTCTGTTTAATGTCTTTATCAACGATCTGGACGAGGGGATTGAGTGCTCCCTCAGTAAGTTTGCAGATGACACCAAGTTGTGTGGGAGTGTCTATCTGCTTGAGGGTAGGAAGACTCTGCAGAGGGATCTGGACAAACTGGATTGATGGGCCAAGGTCAGTCATATGAGGTTCAACAAGGCCAGATGCCGGGTCTTGCACTTGGGTCACAACAACCCCATGCAATGCTACAGGCTTGGGGAAGAGTGGCTGGAAAGCTGCACAATGGAGAAGGACCTTGGGGTGTTGGTCGACACCTGGCTGAGCATGAGCCAGCAGTGTGCCCAGGTGGCCAAGAAGGCCAACGGCATCCTGGCTTGTATCAGGAATAGTGTGGGCAGCAGGAGTAGGGAGGTGATTGTGTCCCTGTATTTGGCACTGGTGAGGCAGCACCTGGAGTACTGTTGTCATTTTTGGGCCACTCACTACAAGAAGGACATTGAGTTGGTGGAGCGTGTCCAGAGAAGGGCAATGAAGCTGGTGAGGGGTCTAGAGAACAAGTCTTATGAGGAGCGGCTGAGGGAACTGGGGCTGTTTAGTCTGGAGAAGACGAGGCTGAGGGGGGACCTTATCACCCTCTACAACTGCCCGAAAGGAGGTTGTAGTGAGGTGGGTGTTGGTCTCTTTTCCCAAGTAACAAGTGATAGGATGAGGAAAAATGGCCTCAAGTTGCATCAGGGGAGGTTTAGATTGGATATTAGGAAAAATTTCTTCACCAAAAGGGTTGGAACAGGCTGCCCAGGGAAGTGGTTGACTCACCATCCCTGGACGTACTACAAATATATGTACATGTGGTGCTTAGGGACGTGGTTTAGTGGTGGACTTGGCAGCATTAGGTTTATGGTTGGACTCAGTGATCTGCAAGGTTTTTTCCAACCTGAACAATTCTATGATTCTATTGCAGTAGTCTAGTGTAAGAATTAGGCTCAAGGTGAATCCTCACCTTAGGCTCTTTTGACAAGTCCAGCTGTTTTCCCAAGTCAGAAAAAAAAAAATTACCCTCATGGTGTCTATTTATAGTGCTGTCAAGCTCTGGCTGGGGTTATGCTCAGTTTGGCTGCCTTTCTGCCCAGATTTCAGTTCACCTAGGCACCTGAGCTAGTGCCCAGACTTCACTTTCCTTTCCTTGGAGCCACACCACTTGCAGCACTGCTTCACCTGGCTTTTCTGCTCTTCAGAGCTGTGAGCATGCATAAAGTGTAGGGACATGTGCTACCAAAGGTCCCCGCAATGCTTATCGTGTTGTACTCTGAGAATAACTTAAATTTAGTTTCCACAGTGGAAGGTGCTGGTCCTGGCAGATGAGGCTGGCCATGACTCTGTTATCTGTCATAGTCACAACAAAAACTTGCAAAAAACTCTCATCAGACCTGCGTGCACTCTTTTCATTGCAAGTGTCAGATAGCCTCTGCCAAACAGAGCCCGTGGAGGGCTGCTAGGTCTCATAAGTGATGCTTGAGACCATTCTCTTTAAATGTGACATCAGAAATAGACTTTATCTTCATACTATAATTGAATGATGTTTACCTTTCCAGTCATTACTGGTTTTGCTTAGAAAATGGGGAAGTGGGCACTTGTGGCTCTGCTGCCTTTTGGGTACTGAATGACAACATCTGTGTGGATGTCGTTTACTTCAGAAACCATATTTCTTCATCAGTTGTCCAAAGAATGGAAAGAAGACTGTAAGGCTGTCAAATTAATCTTGAGGCTGTACTGTAGGCTGGGATATGCAGAAGAACAAAGAAAAATGCCCTCAGAAAAAAATACACTGCTGT